TTTTTTTTTTTTTATTTTTTTTTTTTAACAAGTGTTGCAGATAATGGATACACCAGCATTTTTTGCGGGGACTAATGTCACACTATTCAATATTCCCATTAATTAATTAATTTTCTCTACATTTTTTGGTGTTTAATAGAATATATATTATTCCTACCAACAATCATATGTAATTTAATATATGATTGGTTGGTTAGAAGCTGATTCTTTTTCTTAATGCTCAACATATTTTAACATGCACGCTTACATATATAGTTATGTTTGAGGGATCATGCAAGTATATATATAATATTGATGCTGCAGCTTCATTTGTGATTAATAAACAATTGTGAATAACATAATTTTGGTAGGAAATTAAAATAACCAAATTGTTAGACCTAAAATTCGATCGGTGATATAACTGATGGGATATGGCTCTTAGGATGATGGTTCAGAATCGAGTCAACAAATATGTTGGACAGGAACTTTTATTCGAGCCAAGCAAGAATGTGTTGAAATGATCAGTTGTCCTCAAGTTTTATCTTTGGTCGTGCATGTTTTTTTTATGTTCTGTTATCATGTATTCTCTTAGCCTTTAAGTCGTGTTTCTTTGGACGCGTTTTTGTTCTGATCTTTTACGTTTCATTTAGCTTATTAATGTGGGCACGTGTCGGCGTGTGATAGGTTGTTATGGCTTGGATTAGGCTTTAAGCATGCTGTACGTAAATTTGAACTGTGTAGCTTTGAACATCTGTTTTTACAGAGCTTGAGAAATTGATAATGGCGATTTGATATTCTCGCACCTTTACTTCTCGATTTCATTCCTTACCGCAAATTAAACCTAAAATCTACATGGTATCAGAGCAGGTTAGAAGATGGCGCAACATGAACAAAACCGTGAAATCGTTGGAAGAGGGATCTACGCTCGCGATATCGATCCACTCTCTCTTCATGGATCTGACAGTCCTGGTTTGGTCTTGGTTACAAATCAACTCACTGGAGCGAACTACTTGCACTGGAGTCGTGCTATGAAGCTTGCTCTCAGTGCGAAATCGAAGCTTGGTTTCATCGATGGCTCAATCGCAATTCCAGAAATTGGATCAGAGGAATACAACCAGTACCAAAAGGTAGAATCTATGGTCATATCTTGGCTGCTTAATTCTATTTCAAAGGACATTGTTGAATCCTTTACATACGTGAAAAATGCTAAAGAGCTTTGGGATGAGTTAGCTGAACGTTATGGTGAGAGCAATGGACCTCTAAGGTACCAATTGCAGAAAGAGATAGCAAATTTCTCTCAAGGAAATCTCACAGTAACCACATACTTCACAAAACTGAAGTGTTTATGGGACGAGTACTCTTGCTTAGTCTCTATACCTGAGTGTGTCTGTGGATCTGGAAAAAAATTCTGTGAAGTTGACATGGAAATTAAGCTTATGCAATTCCTCATGGGGCTAAATGAAGTTTTTGAACCAGTAAAGAACCAGATACTGCTGCTTGATCCATTGCCCACCATAAATAGGGCATATTCTATGATATTGAAGGTTGAGAGACAGAAAAGTGTAGGGATGAAAATGTCAGCTCAGTTGGAGACCTCAGCCATGTTGGTCAAAGGAAATTTTGGGAGAGGAGGAGCTGGTAGAACACAGTCTTTTGGGAGAGGTAATGCTGGAAGAGGCTTCTCAACTCAAGGTTTTAACAGTGGAAGAGGAAGAGGTGGTCCAAGGTTATCCAAAGAGGAAAGGGCAAAGTTATTTTGTACACATTGTGGTTACAATGGGCATGAGATACAAGGGTGCTTCAAACTAAATGGCTACCCAAACTGGTTTAAAGAACTAAGGGAACAGAGACAGGCTCAAAGTGTAAACATGGCTGATGGTGATGATGTTTCAAAGGGAGATTCAGAAGGCAAATCCCAACATAGTGACACCATGCCTGATATAAGCTCACTAATTCAAAGGGAAGTGGCAAAGTATATGTCAGGGCAACATGAAGCAGAAGCCAACACTTATTCTCATTTTGTGGAATATTCAAGTGACAAAGAGGATTATGTCTTCTCTTTAGCTGAAAAACTAAGTAGGAGCAGCTGGATTGTGGACACAGGGGCAAGTAAACACATATGTTGTGAAGCTGAGATGATGACAAAGAAAATCACTTCTCAAATTCCTATCATTGTGAATCTGCCTGATGGAACTAAGTTGAAGGCCACACAAATTGGTGAGGTGCAGTTCAATGCTGATATTACACTCAAGGATGTTTTATTGATTCCTGAGTTTAAATACAATCTCTTATCTGTGGGACAACTTGTGGAAGACAATGGGATGCACTTCATATTTACTAGTAAGGGCTGCAAGTTAAGAGATGTAAAGTCAAATTCTGATGTGGCTGTTGGAAGGACAGTGGCAGGTTTATATGTGATTGAGGCAAAGAAAGTATTTATCAATGCTGTTGACAAGGAGATTTTGCAGGATGAGGAACTAGTCTTATGGCACAAAAGACTAGGGCACACCTCCATTCAGTGCCTAAGACACTTACATTTTCTGGCAGGCAAACATGAGACACATCTATTAAGGCCATGTGACATATGTCACAGGTCAAAGCAAAGCAGGCTGCCTTTTCCACTCAGTCAAATACAAAGCAAACAGAAATTTGAGTTGATCCATGTGGATTTATGGGGACCACACCTTGAGAACTCAGTGCTAAATGTTTCTTATATGCTGACCATTGTTGATGATTTTACAAGAGCCACATGGATCTACTTGCTGAAGTATAAAAGTGAAACCCACAGTCACATGAAGTCCTTCTTCAAAATGATTGAGGTACAGTTTGGAGCAAAGGTAAAACAAATGAGAAGTGACAATGGTTCAGAATTTGTCAACAAAGACATGGATGCACTATTGGCAGAAAATGGGATTCTACACCAAAAGACATGCCCTTACACTCCTCAACAGAATGGAGTTGTGGAAAGGAAGCACAGATCCATACTTGAAGTGGCAAGGTCAATATCCTTTCAATCAAAATTAAGAAAGGACCTTTGGCCATACAGTTTACTTGCTGCAGTTCAGATCATCAACACATTACCAAGTGGGAAACTGGGATGGAAGAGTCCTTATGAATTACTTCATGGAGGTCAGCCAGCTTACAACATGTTTAGAACATTTGGTTGTTTATGCTATGCTAGCAAACTTGGGGCACACAAAAAGAAATTTGATGAAAGGGCTGCACCCTGTGTGTTCTTAGGTTATGTATCTGGTACAAAAGGATATAGGGTGTACAACTTGGACACAAAAGAAATTTTCATCAGTAGAGATGTTATATTCTATGAACACAAATTTCCATTTCATGACTCAATACCAAGTGAAACACAACCCACCATCTCATTACCAATCATAGAAGATGATGAAGAACCTGGAGAAATAACACAAGAACACACTCAAAAAGCACCAGAAAAGAATCTTGATGGAGAAATTCTGAGGAGAAGTAGTAGATGCAGGAAACCTCCCTCCTGGTTATCTGACTATATAATTGATGTACCACAGACTGAGGAATTGCACTCATTTTTCTCTGAGGTGAACAAAACAGCCACAGAACCACTTTATTATGAACAAGCCATCAAAGATCAGAGGTGGATAGATGCTATGGGAAAGGAATTAGAAGCATTGGAATCCAACAACACTTGGACTCTTACAAAACTACCAGCAGGGAAGAGAGCCATTGGATCCAAATGGGTATACAAGGTTAAAAGGAATCCCAATGGAACAGTTGATAAGTTCAAGGCAAGGTTGGTGGCAAAGGGTTTTTTGCAAAGAGAAGGAGTGGACTTCTTTGACAGCTTTTCACCTGTGGCAAAGCTGGTCTCAGTGAGGCTGCTCATTGCTTTATCTACACAACACAACTGGGAGTTACATCACATTGATATAAACAATGCATTTCTACACGGTTTTTTGGAGGGAGAGGTTTATATGCACCCTCCAAAAGGTTATACAAAGGCCAAGACAAATGAGGTGTGTTTACTGAGGAGAAGTCTCTATGGTTTGAAACAAGCTAGTAGGCAATGGAACATTGAGTTCTCTGATAAGCTCTTGGCCTATGGTTTTACACAGTCCCCTCATGATCATTGTTTATTCTTCAAGGGTTCAGGTGCACAGTTGCTTATTTTGCTCATTTATGTGGATGATGTGCTTATTACTGGTCATTGCCTAGATCAGATTCAGCAACTAAAAGGCTATCTTCATGGTCTCTTTACCATCAAAGACCTAGGACAAGCAAAATACTTCTTGGGCCTTGAAATTCACAGAACTGCTGATGGTACTTTCCTCAGCCAAAGGAAATATGTGCTTGATATTGTTGCTGACATGGGTTTGCAGGATTCTAAACCTGTTATGACACCTTTACCTCAAGGCATAAATCTCTCTTCACTGGAATCTCAACCTTTTGAGCATCCTGAGAACTACAGAAGACTCATTGGTAGATTACTTTACCTCAACTTGGCAAGAGCTGACTTATCATATGCCATTCAACAACTCAGTCAGTTCATACAGGCCCCTTCTCAAGCACACTGGAATGCTGCCCTTCACTTAGTCAAATATTTGAATGGGACACCTAATTTGGGGCTTCATTACAAAGCTACTCCCTCTCAAACCTTGGAAGCCTATTCAGATGCAGATTGGGGCAGCTGCAATCTCACCATGTGAATATTTTTAACCGGAGTAGAATCCAAAGATTCGACACCGGGTCGTATCACG